GGACACCAGAGGGCAGAAGAATCACTTGAAGTGAAGGAATTCAATGTAAGCGAATCTTGTGTATTCTTGAATTTCCAGGCTTATTAACATTGTAGAGTAGTGATATCATTGTAAGGCTAGGAGTTTAGGTTTGACTTTTTATCACAGGAAGTACAGAAGTCTGTCAAACTAAAAAAATTAAGTAGCTATGGCACACAGAAAGTTCTAATGTTTATTTACCAGAGTGATAATGTCAACAGAAGGCACTGCTGGGAGAACAACTGAGAATTCAACCTCCATAGCAACATGGATGAGACAATGTAAGTGCAAAGGTGGTCTTTAAAGTAATCTATTTAAAATGTTTAACATAAGTGGAAAGTGGCTTTTAGAGTAAAGATCCTGACATTTCATAGAAAGCAAATTATTCAGCAATGCTTTGATTAAAGTAAGATGTGTTCCCCTGAATTACAATAAAAGAAATGACAAGTGCAATAAGGCTTCAACACTTCACTATTATTTTTGTAGAGAACAGACTGATCTCTGGAGAAACAATGTAAGGTTCTGTTTGGTTGTTTGATTTTATCACTTTGAAGGCAGAATGGCATGGGGGTCAATGGCATTTGATTTGGAGTTACATGGCTCTAAATTTAATCCTAGTCTCACCACTTTAAAAACTATGAGACCATGAGCATGTGCTTACCCTCACTGGCTTTTTCTATTTATTTTTTAAAATTGAAGAATAGTTAATTTACAATGTTGTGTTTGTTTCCGGTGTACAGCAAAGAGATTCATTTATATTCATATATATATATATATATATATATATATATATATATTCTTTTCTCAGAATCCATTATAGGTTATTACAAGATATTGAATATAGTTCTCTATGCTATATAGTAGTACCTTACTGTTTATCTATTTTATATATAGTAGTGTGTAACTGTTAATCCAGACTCCTAATTTATCCCTCCCCGCTCTTTCTCTTTTGGTAACTATAAATTTGTTTTCTATGTCTGTGAGTCTATTTCTGTTTTGTAAATAAGTTCATTTGTATCATTTTTTTAGATTCCACATGCAAGTGTTATCATATGATATTTGTCTTTCTGTCTGACTTACTTCACTTAGGATTATAATCTCTAGGTCCATCCATGTTGCTGCAAATGGCATTATTTCATTTTTATGGCTGAGTAATATTCCACTATACATATAATATAAATCCCACATCTTCTATATCCATTCATCTGTTGATGGACATTTAGGTTCATTGGGCTTTTTCTTATCCATAAAATTGGGATAATAATATCTACACCATTAAGTTGTCTGTAAGAATGTACAGATAACATGAGTCCTTATTACTGTGTCTGGATCATAAGACGGGCTCAATAATGGTTTTTGACTAAAATTTCTGAGCTGGAGGTTTGTAGAAAATAAGACTCATAGCTTCACTTAAACAAAAATTACTACAATTAGGCTGCTTAAAACAAAACAGAACAGATGAGCAAGTATGTCAGGAGAATATGTAAAAATAAATGCAGTTAATTTTAGGTAGAGCATTCAGTAGCATATTAATCAGGTGAATTTAGGGGATAGGTGAGTATTAGAGAATATCAAAGAATAAAGGAAAAAAGACTGGTCAGAAAACTTCAACATCCCTATTCACTCTGCCATGTTTGGTGATATGATATTGAGAAAATTATTATTCTGGGCATAAGTTTCCTCCTCTGTAAAATGAGAGTGAATTATGCTGTGTCTCTCATCCATTCCGGTTCTTAGATTCTCAAACTTAACAAGAGTCATTACTTGATACACTGTGAAATATAATTTCAGTGATTAAATGACAGAGTTATTTAAATGGAAACCTTAGTTTATGAAAAGCTTATTTGTGTAGCATATTTTCATATCAGATAGATGATATTCCTAACTTCAGCACCAGCCCGCCAAATATAAAATATAATGTGGAAAATCTGACTAAGCATTGTATGCAACTAAAAGGTAAGATATCACTGAAAACATAAAGAATTAGGAAGCCAAAGGTTACACATTTACATACGATTTTAGACATTTTCAAATGTGGTCACAGAGATTTCAAAGAGAGTACAAAAGTAGCTAGTTACTTCGAAATAACTGATTCCCTTTAGTTACAGTAGCTTTCTCAATACTCTTGCAAACCTTTCAGGGGGAGTGGTTATCACTATTCTTACAGAGAATCAATTGGAAAAAGATGGTAAATAAAAAAAAATTTTAATATCTCAGTAATATTATTTTACATAAATAAAAATTTTTAACTGGCTTATCTGGTTGCTCCCCATCTAAAACCAGTGTAGAGACAATCTGAGTTTAGTTCAGAACAAGAAAGAATGCCGCTTTTAAGTGAAACTATAAAGCAAGATAAATAATCCCTGACAGTAACTAGGATATATTTTTCTTTCCCT